TAAAATATGACAATAATCAATGTTCTATACCAATAAACACTGGACACCTCATGATGGCCGTAGGGTACTTTTTGTAAAACGTACTTGTGTCTATAATAACATCTATATCAACCTAGATGAGAACAATAGTTTGAAATAATATATATATATATATATATATATATATATATATATATATATATATAGAGAGAGAGAGAGAGAGAGGGGGGTAACAGCAAAATTGTCAAAATCTTGTAACACCAAAATTGTCCAATTGTTAGATTAAGATTTGAACCGTTGTATCTTAGAAATGTTTAAAAATATCTTACTGGAATTCTCCAAGTTTTTATAGCATTATTGGGCTCTACTTTGAGAATAAGAATGTATAATTACTCTCCAAGCCTAACAGAAGAATCGTGATAAAATCGATCATAATGGAAATGATATGTTCATTATTAATTAATCATAGCTAAGGATCGGAAGCTCATGATGGACTGAAATAAAGTTCAAATATATATATATATATATATATATATATATATATATATATATATATATATATATACAGTGGGTAGCAAAAAGTATTTAACACATTGGTTTTTCTTACATATCTCAAAAAATAACAGATCAATTTCAACGAAACTTATAAGAAATATTTAAACGAACATTGTCGATCAAAACATAGAAGGAAAATTTAAAACCATTATTTTTTGAGATATGTAAGAAAAACCAATGTGTTAAATACCTTTTCTACGCACTGTATATATATATATATATTTTTCACTGCTCTTTGGACTGTCATATGGGAAACTTCTCTCACACGTGCCAAACGTCTTGTGGATGCGTTGGATCTTTTCTAATTGATCTCTTTAGCTCTAAGTTAAAATGACCATCCTTCTTCCTGTCATGACCTCCTGATCCAGTTTTCATCTCTACTCTTCCCTCTTTTTTAAACTTATTAACCGTTCTCTTAATGGTTCATGGGTAAATTTTTATTTTGTTTCCGAGCGCTAATATTCCTTCAAATTTTTCCAAAATAGTTTTATTTCCGTGCAAATGTACATGCTGAACTCGAATCAACAATTAGACCATGAAGAAACCTGACCTTTTTGGATGTTAACAACCAGAAAAAATATCGGACGTCTCGGTCTTTCGTCAGCCATTACCGGCTTATTGAGAAGTAATTCACTGCCGAAAGATTTTTGGCGGAGTCATAAAATTTGGGCCTATTTACTTCTTTTACAGACTTTCCTTGCAGAAAATCACTACGCACTACCGTAAAGAAATGTATTTTTTTTTCGTAAGTTGAGTTTTATTCATAACAAAAACAAGTTAAATAATACAATAGAACCCTTTTCCGTTTCGAATAGCAATGACAAATTAAAAGAACAAATTAAATAATAAAAATAAAGCCTTTTTTATATTGTAAAATTGAAAATAAAACAAAAATTAAGGCAAACTTGGTAAATTATTTAATGTTTGTTTTTATTTTTTAATTTTTACCCGTAATTAAATAATACAATAGAACCCTTTTTCCGTTTTGAATAGCAATGACAAATTAAATAATAAAAATAAAGCATTTTTTATATTGTAAAATTGAAAATAAAACAAAAATTAATACACAAATTTGGTAAAGTGGAAGGGTTGATTGTATTATTTCATTTCTTTTTAAATTGTCCCCTTTTCTACACAGAATACCCCACCCCTGACCTTAACAACTAAAGATTAATTTTAGGCTGAGTAGTTAAGGTCAGGGGTGGGGTTTTCTGTGTAGAAAAGGGGACAATTTAAAAACAAATGAAATAATACAATAGTAAATAGGCCCTAATTTTATGACTCCGCCAAATAGTAAAATTGGTAAAAAAAAGTAAAACCTTATAATAAATTATTAAAGCACTTAAATGATTTTAACTGAGGTAATTCTTTTTTCATGTGAATCTTACCCACTTTTTTGGGTAGGGGGAGATTTCAGGATGACCTTCGTGTCTAAAACTTTTTTTACCAAATGGTAAAATAATTTACCAAGTTTGTGCATTAATTTTTTTTCAATTTTACAATATAAAAATGCTTTATTTCTATTATTTAATTTGTTCTTTTAATTTGTCATTGCTCTTCGAAACGGAAAAAAGGTTCTATTGTATTATTTAATTTGTTTTTGTTATAAATTAAAACTAAACTTACTAAAAAAAAAATTACATTTCCTTACGGTAGTGCGTAGTGATTTTCTGCAAGGAAAGTCTGTAAAAGAAGTAAATAGGCCCAGATGTTATGACTCCGCCAAAATCTTTCGGTAGTGAATAATGGGGGACGCATGACAAACAAGAAGTCCTATTTTTTCTTGTCGATAACTGCAAAACAGTAAGGCTTCTTCATAATTTAATTCGAGTTCAGCATGTACATTTGCACGGAATTATGACGATTTTGTAAAACATTTCAAGGGATATTAGCGCTCGGGAAACAAAATAGAAATTTACCTGTTCATAAATGGACTTTGAAGATTGCAGCCAGAGAATGAATGTTGGTATAATTACTTAAGGTCTGAATAAATTTCTGACAGAAAACGAGTTTAACCTGTTCTCTTTCTAGATGAATAACTCAAGGTGGCGTGATTCTTACAACAAATGGTATCAAGATGGCTAAACGTCTTTTCTGAAACTTAGAAAAACTTGGAAACTCAATTAGTTTTATATATATATATATATATATATATATATAAAATTAGGCAGCATATGATTTACATACAAAGAATAATCACACATAGAATTAATCAGAAGTATCAATGCGATTATTGACGACATCCATCGTTAGAAAACATAATATATGCATTAAAATCCTGTTCATCCATAGTGCGAGTTTTGATCCTTGAAGAAAAACTTGTTGTCTGTAGTTTTTCAGTTTATTTGATGTTAAAATGCTAGTACTTACGGACAGTCTTCCATCCATCATCAGGCATGTGTTTTTTTTCCTTATAAAATCAAAAACTTGAGACGATATACCTGTATGGATGAACAGGATTTTAATGCATATATTATGTTTTCTAACGATGGATGTCGTCAATAATCGCATTGATACTTCTGATTAATTCTATGTGTGATTATTCTTTGTATATATATATATATATATATATATATATATATATGTGTGTGTGTGTGTGTGTGTGTGTGTGTGTGTGTGTGTGTGTGTGTGAAAATATATAGAAAATAGGAAAGAACTCGTTAGGTAAATAATCCAAAGTTCTTTAGTATTTTTGTTATTATTTTTAAAAAATAGTGCTCGATACAAAAGTTCGCTTGAAGATGGAACAGAGCTTACTTTAATTCAATTTAATTCAAATAATTATATTGAAGTTTTCGGGTCTTGTCTTGAAACATGAGACCTCTTATGTAGCGTGTTGGAATCATATTTTTAAATAAATAATTATATATATATATATATATATATATATATTGAACATTTTCTAGGCTGGAGTCTTATATTGTTACATCATTTGGACAATTTTGCTGTTACACCCGGTATGCATATATTATATAAAATAACATTTCAGGAAGTGGATGGTCATGGTCATCCAATCTTCCTGTATATCTTTTTTGATATTACCAAATGTTATGTTCTTTGTTTTGCTGTCTATTTGCACAGGTTCGTTAAGAAAGTTTCTTTCATTTCTCCTTGCTTCGTTAGCATTCAGAAAATCGTCGGCGATCATAGGTCACCATAATTTCTTACCCTTTGTTGCTCTATATAATTAATGTTCTTTTGCCATCTTTCTGTGTCTGATCATACATACATTAGTTGCTTTTTTTTCCTCCCTTCCTCTCTTACATTCTACGTGTGCACCAGTCGAATATTAGTTTTTCCTAGCCTTCTTTCCTCAATATAAAATTTCAATTCTTTATGATTGTACACGTTTCTTTAAATGTAACTTGACTCATACTGCATGTTCAGTATTCGATGGTAAATTTAAAGCTTCTTTTTTCATCTGTGAGTTTGTTCCTTATTCAAAAACTCATTTCGGATTAGATATTGCATCATCTCATGTCTCTTAATACTTAGATTAGTTTCTCACAGATGAAATTTTTTGATGGCAGACAAACAGAGAAGGCTACGGGACATCCTAGACAAGGTAGAAAAGGAAAGCGAGAAGAAAGGACTAACCATCAATGGGGGAAAAAAACAGAAAGTATGACTGTCATCAAAATAAAAAGTCCGTGGTATTATATTTTTCTATATAATGCCTTATGATTTCTTATAGAATATAGGGCCGCAACAAGACCTTTCCAACGGACGCGGTTGCTGACGATCCACTTCATCTCGGCCCATGTCGTACCGGCTGTCTTCACCTATGTGTCAACACTTCTGCGCCAAGTCTGTTTTGGTCGACCCACTTTTCGCTTGCCTTGTGGATTCCAGTCAAAGACCTGCCTGGTGACACCAGAAGCAGGCTTGTGGAGTGTGTGGTCGATCCATTTCTATTTCCGTTTCTTGATGTCAATCTCGATTGGGGCTTGTCTGGTCTTACCCCACAGTTGGTCGTTGGAAACGACTTCCAACCACCTGATATTGAAGATGTTCCTGAGACATCGGTTGATAAATGTATGAAGTTTGTGGATGTTGGTCTTGGTTACCCGACAGGTGTCTGAGTCGTAAAATCCGTGGTGCGAACTACGAATTGAAAAATGTCTACTCGAGACAAGGACGAAAGCAATAAATATGACACCGAAATCCGAAGTTACATTGGAATAGCGAAAATGCCTTCCAAAAGCTCAGCAAAGTATTAAGGAGCAGGAAAATTCTGTTAAAGTTGTAGTTTTGAACAACTTTGACTCGTTACCATTTCTCTTTGCCCTTCCTTCTTTTAATCTTTCTCACAAACTCTTGGCTTACGGCTATATCACATTGAAACACCGTTTCCCGAAGTTAAGCAACGTCGAGCCTGGTCAGTACATAGATGAATGACCGCTTGGGAGTACCAAGTGTTGTAAGCTTGGATGTGTGGGTGGCGTAATAGGCTTACAGTCACCACACGTTGAAACACCAGTTTCTGTACGATCACCGAAGTTAAGCAATGTTGAACCTGGTTAGTACCTAGATGGGTGACCACTTGGGAATACCAAATGCTGTAAGCTTGTATGTGCGTGTGGTGTAATGGATAATGGCTCGGGATTGTTAATCGGAGGGCAGAGTTCCAATTCCTGTTGGGTTCTTTGTATTCTCTTACGTGCAAATACCTTTTGGAAACGTAAAAATTTATATCATCTCTCCCGTCTTATCGCTAAATCTATTATTATGACAAATACAAAATTCTTAAAATCTAAAATATTTTCTGGCGTTAAATAACAAACGAATTGTTGAAAATCCATAGAAATCGAACTAATCAATCAGTGTTGCTCTATGCGCCTTCAGCGTTTAATATATCCTGCGAATGTTAAACTCATATTCAGAATAATAATTATTGATTATCGGAATATCATCAAAAGCAAAAGTAATTTTCTAAAATGCATCAGGGAATGCATTAAGCCGATAAAAGACAAATGGTAGCTTAGCCTGACCGGAAACGGCTAAAATAGTGTGTCAGCTATAAAGCCATGACGACGACGAAGACAAATTAATTCATACCTTTTTCAAAGACAGAACTTTTCAAGCTGGTGTCTGGCGGCAATTCACTGTAATTAATTTCCCGTTCTTTCTTTAATTAATAACTAAATGATGGGAATGATGGAAGTAACATAACAATCGAAGTGGTTGTCAATAAAGAACAAACATTCGTTGCATTATCTAAGGCATAATATACGAATAAATTTCTAGTTTAAATTGATTCAACGTCGCAAAAAATCTATTAGGGCAAGGCTTTTCAAACTGGTACAGAAAATGGAATCAAAAAGGGAAAATTAAACATCAAGAAGAAACAGTTTGAATTTTTGGGGCCCATAATGAGGAAAGAGGGCTTGGAAAATCTGATACTCACAGAACAGATACCAAGAGGGACACGGGAAAACAACGTATAACATACTTGACGAGCTTGAGTAAATGGATGGCAGAAGAGGTTCTAGGAATATAGCGAAAAGATAGAATTCATTTAGAGCCACAAATGACAAGAAACCGTGAAGAGCCATGATCGCCTACAGCACATGAGGAAGAAGATACTTTAATTACAAATTAGGAATGCGCAGGTGGATTTATGGTTAGCGGCATGGACAGAGTTTGAATTTGTGGGAAGTAAATGCACAAAAAATAAATAGACAATAAAATAAACAGGAACATGTGCTGGAAGTGGATTATCTCCCTTTGACATATAGTCATATGACTAGAGCCATTGGTATTAGTCTAAAACACAGTGGGCTATTTTTTTTCTCTGTTCACTGAGCATGTAAGTAATTTAAAAACACTCATTTTCAAGCACTCATACGCACACATACACTTACTGTTTCCAAAAATTGCTATTTTTGTATATCAGTTTACCTGGAAATAAATAGTACAGCCAAAATTAATGCTTGCAAGATTTCACAGCTCTAATGTCACTCCTACAGAGTCACCCTATGAAGTTTTTAGCACACCCTCGTTCTTTTGAAGTCTTCTTTGAAAAGTCAGAGTTGAAATTAATGCCTGCAAGACTTCACAGCTCGAGCATCACTCCTTTATAGTCAGCCTATTAACTTTTCAACCCACCCTCGTACTTTTGAAGTTTTCTTTGAACAGTCAAATGTCAGTTTACCTGGAAAGAAACAATAGGGTCGAAATTAATGCCTGCAAGATTTCACAGCACTAGCGTCAATCCTTCATAAAAAAAATTTTCAGTCGACCCTCGTAAATAGTCTGTCAGACTAAACAAAAAAAATGAAGTAATGCTGTCTTATCCAGACTGGTGATGCTCACCCGTCCCTTTCCAGCCTTGGCAAAGTTCAAATCCTTTACACCTTCTTTTAGGAGAAAACTTATTCTCCCCCCTTTGCAATCTGTTTTCAACAGACACGACTTCACTAGCCTATTGCTACTCTTTCGTTATTTGGACATGGCAAATGTCCAGATGAGCTTCATTCGTTATTATTATCAATAGTTCGAAACTTCTGTGCAAAGACACGTCTTACTACTTCCACGGAGTCGCATCACCCTCATTCCCACTATATACAGACCGGTTTAGTTTACGAATCTTAGAAGCAAAGACAAGGCATCCGTCCTTAGTATGACGGTAAACTACACCTGGCAGCAAGGCCTCTGATCGGGAAATTTTGAGGAGCGTGGAACCACCTCTTAATTTCTGTTGTTTCCAGGTACACCCAGGGTGGTAGTAACTGTTATGGTCCCAGCTATGGACAAATAGTTAACCCCCAAACAGGGGTTAAAACACTATGAAAGTAAAAAAAATAGATTTTTATAGTAATAATACTAGCAATATATTTTTGAAAAAAATATTACCAGCAATATATTTGACTGGCGACAAAAATCCTCTTTACAAAAATACGGCAATGAAAACTGATCTACAAAACATTCTTACAAAGAGTACATGTTCTATTCATAGGAATCTATCTTAAAAATCTTGTCGGCATAAATAACCAACTGACGTTGATATGCCGTAACACAAAATAATCCAAACCAAATCACGACAAAAACCCTCTTTGCAAAAATGAATGAAACCTGATCTCCTCCAAACGGTTTTCTTGCAAAGAATACATATTTTATTCATACAAATCAATTCTAAAAATCTTGTCGACATTAAATAAACCATTGAGTTTGATACACCGTAAAATAAACCAAACCAAAAACTAGGCGTGGATCAGATCTTTGAAGTCCCGCCTCCTTCGGAAGAGGTTTAACCAATCGCAAATGAGAGAATTCTTTTTAAGTGTTGTCAATGCAGTCAGTTATGTGCCATGCGTGATACACGCTTAGGCCATTATGTATCTTTCGATACATGACTGACAAGGCAGTTTTTTTTCCCCGCATTTCTATTTGCGGTAGACCAGTTGCCATCCAAGGCTATACAACCCGGCCTGTCTTGATATTTACCCATAGCTGGAGGGGGAGAAGACGAGGATTCATAACTTTGCCAAGGGGACTAGCACGTAAGGAAATGAATGGATTCGACCAGAATTCGAACTCGGCTCTTCGAATCCTCAATCCGAGTCGCCAATGCGTTAATTATTGGAAATTTTTGCGTATGGCAAATTACGAAATATACCTTTGATGTGGCACAAGGACAAACTATGACACACCCAGTGAGGATCGAACTCACTCCTCGGTCATAAGTGATTCAGCAAAACAAGCTTGCTAACCATTTACACAACATCGAAGTGTCCTGGAAATGTTTGAGTATGAAATACAAAATTTCGGCTAAGATTCGAACTCGATATGCTGTTTTAATTTTCCTCTGTCAATTTTTTCATTTATATATATATTTTTAGTTGGCGTAGAATAAAGCATTTTCTGTTATATTTTTTAATGGAGAACAAAGTAAACAGTTTTCAAATCCATCGGATATTAATATTTATGTTGTATTTAATAACTGAATGTTATTTGGAGAAATGCCTTCAAGTTTCATTTCTTTGCAGTGTCTATCCTAACGTTGCTAGTATTTCAATTACGTAGACCCGCTCTTGTACACCGTTTAAAATAGACAAAAAATGATATTGTGCTTCAATATTGATTTAAATAATTTCTCCAGGCTAATGCAATTCCTAGACGCTTTTATCAATACTGAAATCGTTCCGTAAAACTGAAGCGGCAACATTTATGAAGTTCTTTTTAGTTGCATTTTTTTTTAAATTATTTTCTTTATTGCTGCTTTTCGAAAGTTTTTGTCCAGTTCTACCGTAACGCAACGACGAACCAAAGAAATAATTCAACGCAAATGCAAAATAGAAAATCATCAATCAACGAATACAAAACCTGATTTCGTTTTTTTTAAGTTATTCATTAAAATGAAATAAAAAATTGGAAGAAAAAAGAACATGTCTGCGTCAATCTCCTCACATTCAAATAAACAATAACCGCTCGATCGAATGTACCATTCACTCGTATTTGGTTTCCTGACTGCTTACTTGTAAAATTTATATTACTCTATACCCATAGTTCTTAACCGGGGTTCACATGGCCCTGCCAAATTTTATGGTGACCACAGAAAAAATTTGAAATTTAAGGGACCACAAGTTCAATGAAAAGTGCCACAACAATGTTGCCCTCTCTATTTCAGTTTTAATAAACTTAAATTATGTAATAAAACAAGTTTCAATTGTCTTTTATGAGTTCAATCCCCGGATATATTCGAGCGAGATGCCTGCAACAAATTTTATGACAAGCTGAAACAAATCGAAACGCTTCGGTAGTCTTTTATCAAACATTCTTTGATGCAAACGTATTTATCAAATAACCGGTGTCTTTTCCTGAGGACTGGATACACGCATTATGTAAAATTTATCTGCAGAACTTTTTTTATTTTGCATAACTTAATTTAATTCTTTCTTTTTTTGAGGAAGAATAAAAAGAACATTTTAAATTTGTGTGTGCATAACTTTTGAAAACAAAAAGTAAAAGTTTATTTCATTTAACTGGTTTGATTTTTAAAACAAGCAATTTTAAAGTTTATATGTAGAAATATCACTTTTTGTTTGTTCCGGAAATTGTAAAATGCGCTTTAATTAAATTAAATGTCTAGATGTCCATAAAAAATCATCAATCAAAAGGGAGCCATTAAGAGAAAAAGACTGAAAACCACTGCTCTAGACAAACAAGTTTTATTATTATTCAATTTTATTTATTATTTGTTTTATATACAAATGTTCACTCGATACAAGACCCAAGAACCACTCGAGGTAGAGCGTTACTGTGTGATGTTGTATGAGCGTAAGAAAGGGCAAGAATTTCAGTTTATGGAGCTATGCAGGAAAGATAACATTTAACATTAGTCTTGAAGAGGTCAAGATTATACTGATAAGGAAAAACTCCTACCGGGTGTCTGTTCAGCAAAACAGCAGTTCTTGGAAAGAAGCTGTCCAAATGGAACTTACATATTACTAAGGGAATGGAGATGATTCACCCTTGTGTTATTGAAATGGCAGTTCCCATTTGTAAAGGTCAGGGGTGGTGAGACTAAAGAACACATGTTCTTTATAACACATACCATGGACATA